CAACTTTCTCTGGAATATATTCCTAAGAATGGAATTACTGGATGATAGATATGTGTATGCTCCCCGTTTGGATAACAGATCAAACTGTTTTCCAAAGCAAGTGTACCAATTTACCAGCCACTACTAGTGTATATGAATTTCCCTCACCCATTTTTTTTTAATTTATTCCAATTGACAGGTGTGAAATGGGCCACCCAGCTTTGCTTTCTGGGCATTCATTCATATTTTTGCCCACCTTCTCACTGGTTTTTTTTTTCTCTTTTTTATTTATTTGTAAGTATTCTTTGCATATTCGGGAAACTAATTCCTTGTCAGTTACATGTATTATAAGTAACTGCTCACTGTTTGGGGACTTTCCTTTTATAATTATGAAGTCCTTTATTGAATAAAAATTGTTAAGTTAAATATCATAGTTTGAACTTTTTGCATCTGTTTAAGAAATATTCCTTTACCCTGGTTCTTGGAGATATTCTGCATTTTTATCTAAACAATGTATTGTTTTTATCTAAAAACATATTATCTAAAAACATTAGACATTATCATTAAAAACATTATCTAAAAACATTTTATCTAGGGATCCCTGGGTGGCGCAGCGGTTTGGCGCCTGCCTTTGGCCCAGGGCGCGATCCTGGAGGCCCGGGATCGAGTCCCACGTCGGGCTTCCGGTGCATGGAGCCTGCTTCTCCCTCTGCCTGTGTCTCTGCCTCTCTCTATATATATGTCTCTCATGCATAAATAAATAAAATATTAAAAAAATAAATAAATAAAAATAAAAAAAAATAAAAACATTTTATCTAAACAATGTATTTGTTTTATCTAAAATTGTATTGTTTTTACCTTTTACATTTATATATTTAATAAATCAGGAATTTACTTTTGTATACTAACTATATATTTTGCCTGAATTAAAATTTTCATTTTTTAAATATGGAAATACTTTATTCCTTTCCATCTCATTTCACTTGTAACTATTTCATTAAGTACACCAGTTTTTAAACACAGAGGCCATGATTTTTTTCTTAACTAATTTGTATGGTATCTAGAAGCACAATGCCCACAAACACTCACAGTTCCTATACGCCATCCTCCTCAACAATGAGAGCAACATAGTCTGAGATATCTGGGCAAGACAACCCCCATACCCCACCAGATACTACAGATTCTATATGTATCCCATTGGGCCTACAGTACTTTGTCCATGTTGGGGGTGGGTGGGTGGAGTTGAAAATCCTCTGGATACTGTAGTGCTTGTAATAACTCTCCAAATTCCTGGCCATACTTAATCATTAACACCCTCAGCAGAGTCTGTCTCAGAGGTCAAAATGCACTTCCTATCAGCTATAAGGAAGTGGGGATCTAATAAATATTTATTTATAGATGCTGTCATCCAACAGGCTGGAATAGCAGGGGCTCTAAATTCTAAATGACTTGTGTATGAACAAGAGTCAACAGGATCTGTATCTAGTCCTTGGGTATAATTCAAATTAATTGCTATGAAGTACCAGCCTGGTTTCCTCTGGTCACATTACAAGTTATAGTAATCTACCAGAGCATAAAACTCAATGCTGTAGAGCAGCTGGGAAATTCTCTGCCCTGACATAAACATGTGGAAGTCTTCACAGCAGAAATTTTTCCAGATTGGATGACTGAACCCCATAATGATAGAATTGTTGAATCACTATGTTGTATACCTGAAACTAACATGACACTGTCTGTTCATTATACTTCAATTAAAAATAATAGCCCTATTGTATCATATTTTATTTTAAGTTTGAAATCTCAAAAAATCTTCAAATAGTAGCCAAAAATTTCTGGAATAGCTTAGTTATTTTTCCAAAAAGTTAAAAATGATGTTAATAATTTTAATGAGACTTTAACTCTTTCACTTAATTGTAATTGGGTCCAGTCATAAGGAATAATCGTGCTAAAGAAGAAAATAAAAATTATCATGTGTAATAAGTGCACTGATATTCCTAGCTCTTATAAGGCTGACTCTTGATTTAAATAATGCTTCTACATACCTTGATCATTTGTTAGTGTATTAAACTCTTAGCTGAAACTAACTCACTGCAAAACTTGTGTAATTTAAACAGTACAATTTTCAATGACTTTAATCGAAAGACCCCCCTCTTCTCCATTAAGCAACAACAAAAGACACATTTTGTGAAAACATACATAAAAGAACACAGTTCATGTTTATAAAGGGTTCTTCATTGAAGATTTTAGCTGTGACAGCTATTTACAAAGTATTTTAAAGCTTTGTAACAAATGGCAAGGTGCTTATTACATGCTCAGTTACTGGTAGTGAACACTCAGTGAGCATTGGCTGATGTGAATGAGTGGATGAAAATGTAAATAAGAGCTATCCACACATGTATGGTAAAAAGCATGAAGTAAGTTTAACTCTCCCAATTTCTACTTTTATAATGTAAATTAAGCAGAGTCTAACGCAAGGTATTATTTTAAAGTATACTGTTTATAAGAGAGAAATTATATAGTCTTACCTTATTTTAGATGTTTGTAAAAAAATATTTTTTAAATAACTAAAAAAACCTCAATCTCAAAAGTAAAAAGCCATTGGTTTTCAGTGGAAGAACAACAGTTTGGGCCACTAAAAAAGTAAATTCCAAATTCCTCAGAAAGAATGTACAAAGGTTCTGAATGAATATGTCTTTTTTTTTTTTAGATTCCTTCTCCTTTGGTTGTTTGCTTGCTTGCTCATTTGCTTTTATCATATATAAACATCAATTAAAGTACCAGAATGAAAATTAATGAGGTGTTTTCTGTGACTTCTCCAATCCTTTGAAATATTTAACCTGATTAAGGAAACGATTCAAATGTTTCAGTGAATTTTTTGGCCAGGGGATTTGAACAATTTGAGGAAGAACAAATGAATAGATTCCATTTGGCTCAATAATGTTTAGCAGAGCCCCACTGGTGAGACCACACCCAGAGTTCACCATGTGTCTGGATGTCTACACACATGCAGAGGCTTCCAGCCCAACCAGCAGAGGTTGGGTGTAGTTCCAGGGCACTACACACACACCCTGACTATACATAGCTCCCCTAATGCCGTGAGCTTGCGACCCCGTAGGAAAGATCAGGCTTCCATGAAAACTACTACCAGTGAAATCCATTGGAGATTCTAGCAGGGAGCAGCTGTAGTTTCAGAATGGATGGAGCAAGCAATCTGTCTCACGGTGGGTGCTGAGCTGACTTTATAACAGAGGAGAGAGACTCCATGCACCAGGTCAGGTGCACAGCACTATGCTATTTATTCTGTTTTCAGGGAACAAGATCCAAAGCCCAGGCAGTGACTGAAAGCTTTAAATGAATTATCTAGTCTCTAGAACATTAGAATTGGGGGTAAAACTTCAAAATCACCTAAATTCATTTAATTCACTTCCCCAAACTTCATCTCCAAATGTATAAATGTTTCATTCCTGTTTTAAATACTCGAGGTTTTCTGTTTGTACAAAATATTTTAATCGTTTTATAAAATATAACCTCTAAACAGAGATAAACTTAAAAACAAAAACCAAAAAAAAGGGATGCCTGGGTGCCTCAGCGGTTCAGGGCGTGATCCTTGTCTGGGGATCGAGTCCCGCATCAGGCTCCCTGTGAGGAGCTTGCTTCTCTCTCTGCCTATGTCTCTGCCTCTCTCTGTGTCTCTCATGAATAAATAAAGAAAATCTTTTTTTAAAAAAGCATAAAACAGAGATTCTGAAAAGTGGTTATCCATACTTATAAATCATTGTTGTTATGCAAATCGAAACCACAGTATCACCTCATTGTGTTACAGTGGTCATCATCAAAAACACGAGAGATAACAAATATTGATGAGGATGTGGAAAAAAGGGAACCCTTGCACACTACTGGTGGGAATGTAAAATGGTGCAGCCACTATGGAAAATAATACGGAGGTTCCTCAAAAATTAAATATAGAATTACCATATGATCCAGCAAACCCACTTCTAGGTATATATCCAAAGGAGACAAAATCACTATCTCAAAAGTATCTGCACTCCTATGTTCATTGTGGCATTATTCACAACAGCCAAGATATAGAGGCAACCTAAGATCCACAAAAGGATGACTGGATAAAATCACACACACACACACACACACACACACACACACACACACACACTGAAATATTATTCAGTCACAAAAAAGGGGGGAACCCTGCCATTTACAACATAGATAGACCGGGAGGCATTAGGCTATGTGAAATAAGCCAGACAGAGAAAGACAAATACAGCATGATATCATTGACGTGTAGAATCTAAAGGAAAGAAAAAAAGTCAGACTCGTGGAAACAGTGGTTGCCAGGGCCTGGGGGGTGTGGGGGATAGAGAAAATAGGGAGAGGTAAAAGGATAAAAACTTTCATCTTTAATATGAATAAGGTCTGAGGATCTAATGTAAAATGTGTCTAGAGTTGATAAGGCTGTACTTAGGAATTTACTAAAAGAATAGAACTTAAATGTTCTCCCCAAAAAGAAAAAGACAAATTTTAAAAGATTCTAAAACATTGTTCTTGATAACCAGTGTAACTTACTATTATGTACCCACATCTATCTTTTTAGGTACCTAAATTATTCACAGTGTTTGCAAATATTCTTCTTGTGTATATTAGGATGAAAAAAAAATCTGTCAAGGCAGGTGCAAAGGCTAAAAGAATACATCTTCCGTTTCCTTTTGTTGCCTCTGTTTAAAAAAAAGGAATCGCCCCTGAGAAAAGCCTCTAAGAAATGCCTCTAGTGATAATTTCTGGAATGAAACTAAACAGAGCACTGTACAAAGGGGAAAAAGAAAAAAACAAAGCAAGGCGCGGTGGACAGTGGTGTCAATCCTAAAAGTGAGATGTCAGCAGAAGAGGTCAGCAGAGGAGGCGTTTCTTCCCTACGAACTCTATAAAAGGTCAGCTCATCCACCACTGAGACACAGACTCTGCTCCAGCCATCCAGAAGCTACAGGTGCTTCCTCCTAGAATCCCCAATGGAATTCAGTCGCAGAAACTTCCACAGAGGCTTGAGTTCCTCCCCACAGAGCTCTGCACTCAGCATGAGTGACTCCATGTATAGGAAGGAGGACATGCAGTACTTTGGGGCTGCACCCAGCGTCTATGGGGGAGCTGGAGGTCAGGGCATCCGCATCTCAACCTCCAGGCATATAAGGGGCTATGGGGGTGATCACACCAAAGGAAACCTGTTTGTTGGTAATGAGAAGACAACCATGCAGAACCTAAATGACCGCCTAGCAAGCTACCTAGCAAAAGTGCAGTCCCTGGAAAAGTCCAACTCCAAGCTTGAATCGCTGATCAAGGAGTGGTATAAAACAAACACGCCCAGCGCCAAGGACTACAGTGCATATTACAAACAAATGGAAGAGCTGCAAAATCAGGTAAGGGATGACACCTGTGTTTTCTACTCCACCTTTGAGCTGCAGGATATATATACCAAAAGGGCATATATGTTAGGTGGGTCCAAATGGATGTTATAAAGCAATTAGGCTGAAATGCTATATCTGAAAAAACGGTGCATTCTATCATCTACTTTTAGTGCTAGGGTAGCTGACTACATAATTGGATGACTGTACATATCTTTTTCACTTTTTAAAATCTAATTACATAGAATATATGAAAATAAAATCCATATTTTTGTCAGTTTACCAGGACAAGTCTAAGTGAATAGTAAACTTTTTTTTTCTGAAAAGAGCTGAAATTTCAATGATGATAAATCTGTTTTTTCACCCAATTCCCATTAACTTTTGAATTCCCAGTCAACTTAGAGATAATTCTTCCTTTAATTTATGTAAATGCTATAAGTATTGTGGTACTGCATCATAAATTTGAATGACAAAGTGATTCAGGGTGGAAATAAGGGGAAGGAATATAGCATTCAGATTTTTTTTTTTTAAGATTCTTTTATTGGGATGCCTGGGTGGCTCAGTGGTTGAGCATTTACCTTTGGTTCAGGGTGTGATCCCGGGTCTGGGGATCGAGTCCCTCATTGGGCTTCCTTGCATGGAGCCTGCTTCTCCCTCTGCCTATCTCTCTGCCTCTGTCTCTCTCTCTCTCTGTGTCTCCCATGAATAAATAAATAAAATATCTTTTAAAAAGATGTATTTATTTGAGAGAGACAGAGCAGGGGGAGGGGGAGGGGGAAAAGAGAATCTCAAGCAGACTCCCTGCTGAGCACAGAGCTCCATGTGGGGCTCAATCCCAGGACCCTGAGATCATGACCTTAGTAGAAATCAAGAGTCAGCCACTTGACTGAGCCACCCAAGCACCTCAACGACGTCTAGATTTTTAAATGTCCTGCTTAATGATCTCATCATCATCATCACAAGTTCAGAAATCACTTCTACAGGAACAAAATGTTCTATTGCCCCCAATTCAAATTTGTTGCAATACCACAACCTACTCTCAAAAGGTGGAGCTCTGTTTTATCAATTGTGTGCAATAAAGGACATGGACTTTGCTCCTAATTGAAGGGTTCAGATATGACAGGAGCACTTGCTTTGCTTTCAAATTCTTATCTAACCAAAGGGGAAAAATCCCATTCATTTTCATTTCTATTTTAACATTCATATTCCTTTAAAGCAAAGGCCACCTCCTAACCAGGAAGTCTCTTTTTCTTTTTTTTTTTAATTTTTATTTATTTTATGATAGTCACAGAGGGAGAGAGAGGCAGAGACACAGGCAGAGGGAGAAGCAGGCTCCATGCACCGGGAGCCCGACGTGGGATTCGATCCCGGGTCTCCAGGATCACACCCTGGGCCAAAGGCAGGCGCCAAACCGCTGCGCCACCCAGGGATCCCCGGAAGTCTCTTTTTCTTGTGTTGTATTAGACATCAGTGAAATTTAAACCAGATTCCACTGTAAGTTACTTTGGGGGTTTCAGGAACTACGGGGAGGTGAGGCAAAGGTGTCTAAATTATCTTTCTGCCAACAGGTCATTCTTCTCAGGCTCCCACTAAAAATGGTCAAAATCAGCAAACCATTCTCCACTACCTGTCTCATGATTCATGTTTCTGAATCTACTTTGGATCATCCCAAACACATAGACACAGTCATCTGTTCCATTTGGGGTGGGGGGCAGACTCAGTATAGGAAGGAAGGCAGCTCACTCCAGGACTTGATCTGTTGAAAGAGACATGTCACTGGGGCACCGGTTTAGCGCCGCCCTTCAGGCCAGGGCGGGATCCTGGAGACCCCGGATGGTGTCCTATGTCAGGCTCCCTGCATGGAGCCTGCTTCTCCCTCTGCCTGTGTCTCTGCTCTCTTTCTCTTTCTCTCTCTCTCTCTCTCTCTCTCTCTCTCTCTCTCTCATGAATAAATAAATAAAATCTTTAAAAAAGACATGTCACTATAACATCTTTTATAAGCAGACGAGATCTTTATGTATCGTAGAGAATTCACCCATTAGGTGAATTCCCCCTTTTTTTTTAAATCGAGGGCTTACCCATCCTGACAGTTCCAGTGCCTAGCACAACTCTTACATAACAGGTGTCCATTCATTTAGCCAATATTTAGTACACACTAGCTGCTGGGTACCATGCTGGGCATTGAGGAATATGATGGTGAACATACGTGATTTAGGGGGAAACAGGCAGAGACAAAAGCAACATTTATCCCACAGAGGGATAAATGCTAGCAAGGAAGGCTGGGTAGGGCAGTGAGAACATAGGCAGTTCATCTAGTTCTGCCTTGAGGAAATCACCGAGGCTTCCTTTAAGCAATGATGTCTAAGATGAGACATGGAAAAGAAGTAGTTCACCAAATGAGGAGGGGTAACAAGAATATTCTAAGCAGGAACAACATCAAATGGCAGGCATTCAGTAAGGTTTGATGGCTCAAGTAGAAAGAAATTTTCTTTTGTAAAACCATAAGAAAGCTCACCAAATCCTAGGGACAAGAGCTATGTTTTATGACTCAATTATGTTAAATGCCCATTTATCATTATTCTTTCTATTTTCATATGGAAATTCTTTTTTTATATATAAATTTATTTTTTACTGGTGTTCAATTTGCCAGCATCATCTTTGATAGAATAGTGGCTGTATCTGAGGATACACTCAATCATTTTAAACTCCTGTCCAGTTGAAAATGTCATTCTTTCTATTTTCCAGATTAAAAAGGCACAACTGGAAAATGCTCGTTGTGTCCTGCAGATTGATAATGCCAAACTGGCTGCTGAGGACTTCAGACTGAGGTAGGTTCTAACTCCATGGTAAAACTTCCTGAAAAGGGATTTCTTTTAGTTGTTCTTGATGACACTCAGCTTTCCACGTTCTTGTTGGTAAAGGAGCTATTCCTTACGTACTTCCAGAAGTAGAAGTAGAATCTATCTAATCTGGCCCAGCACTCAAGGCTACACTTTCCTCTCCCACAGTCCTAAGATCTGGTCACCCAGGGTGTAACTGGGTATAACTAATACTGTTTTCACTGGTTAGCTCCGGTTACTAGAACATTCTTTTCTGGGAACCTCACATCTACCTTTTCACCCATTGAAACTAATTCTGCCATTTAGAGTAATACCAAAGCAATTTACAACTCTCCTTCTGCAGTGCTGTCCTTCTGTTATCTAAAGCGAGCCATGTGTCTATGTTTAGTGATTCTCTAAATGAGTCATCCATGCTCTTTCTAGTGCTTGCAAATGTATGACCCAAATTCCAGGGGTGACCTTTGATGCATCTAAGTTTGCTAGTGTTTTATAATAGGGTCTGACTAACCAAAGAACTAGGACTATGATTCAACCAACTCAGATTGTGTTAAATTTCTTATAGCCATAGCACACTACATGTAATCACAGCTGTTGCTCATAAATAGCACCTACTCTAGGGCTTTCTCATCCTGAATACGTACACTGCATTGGTACTGAAAGTTCTTTGTGGTTTAGAAGGGTAGCACTTGAATGCTACAAGAGATCAGATAAAAGGAAATGGGAAAGCAAATCTGAAGATTAAAGCAGTAAATATTCATTAATTCCAATTTTACTAAGTCAGCACCTGAATATCCCATTGTGTTATCATTTTGTAAAGTTTTGCTAGTTTAATAAAAATGAGAGTATAGGGATCCCTGGGTGGCGCAGCGGTTTGGCGCCTGCCTTTGGCCCAGGGCGCGATCCTGGAGCCCCGGGATCGAATCCCACGTCGGGCTCCCAGTGCATGGAGCCTGCTTCTCCCTCTGCCTGTGTCTCTGCCTCTCTCTCTCTCTCTGTGACTATCATAAATAAAAATTTAAAAAAAAAATGAGAGTATATAAGATTGTAAGGGAGAATCATGAATTCTTTAAGACAATTCCCTTTGGATACATCTGCTTGCAAAGTAATAAAAATAAATTGATCAAGTGTATTCATTAAATAAATCTAACCATTTAATATCAATAATGAGAATCTTTTGCTGACACATTAATTAAAATATTTTTATTTCTTTTAAAGTATATTCTAGAATTTAAAAACTTTTAGGAGTTATTTCAGATTTTTTTTTTTTACCAATCACTCCAAATTACAAAGATTACATTATGGAGCAAATTATCTGATTCCTGGGTTCTCATGAACATTTTTGGAATGTATAAAGAGGGACACAATGTATTGAAATTAATCCTCATATGCTACATAAAAATGTCTCATTATATTAAGACTATCTCTTCTATAATGGCTTCAGAAGGACTCCATTATCTCTGCATACCAATTAATTCACAGGTATGAGACTGAAAGGGGGATCCGCCTAACAGTGGAGAGTGATCTCCAAGGCCTGAATAAGGTCTTGGATGATCTAGCCCTAACTAGAAAAGACTTGGAGATTCAAGTTAAAGAACTGAGTAAAGACCTGGATATCCTCAAAAAAGAACATCAAGAGGTGAGGAAATATTCAGATGTGGTGCTGCGAATGACAGAATGGCTCTAATAATGATAATTAGGGGAGGGAGAGGATGGTAAAAAAAAAAAGACAATAATAATGATGTGAATGGTCAGGGTTCAATGACAGAGAAGTACCTCGGCTGGAATAAGCCCCACCTAAGTTCTTGTCTTTCTGTTTTATTCCTCCCCTATGAAAGAAGCCATAAGAGTTATTATTATGTCTTTTCTGCTCAGCCTCAAGTGAGAACGTGCTGTAGACTGTAATCAGGATTTTCACTCTTGTAGGAAGTGGACAGCCTACATAGACACCTGGGCAATACTGTCAGTGTAGAATTGGATGCTGCTCCAGCCCTGAACCTTGGTACCACCATGAATGAAATGAGGCAGAAGTACGAAGTAATTGCCCAAGAGAACCTTCAGAAGGCCAAAGAACAGTTTGAGAAACAGGTAATAGCATAACTCAGAGGGTAATCCAATGTGTAGAAGTTATCCTTCCTTTAAAAAAAGATAACTCTTTTTCTTTCCTTTCTCTCTTTCCTTACTCATTTTTTTTTAACTTTAGACTGAATCTCTGCAGCAAGAAGTCATAGGGAGCAATGAAGAGTTAAAAGAAGCTGAGTTTCAAGTAAAGGAGCTGAGACGCACCTACCAGAACCTGGAGATAGAACTGCAGTCCCTCCTCAGTCTGGTAAAGCACATTTAATTTCCCACTCTGAATGCAGTGTGTGTTTACTAAGTGCCTGTGTGAGGAACTCTAGAGATGCAGAAACCTCTAGGAAATAACATCTCATCTCTGCAGAGCTGGCAGGAAAAGAGGCCAAACCACTGATTATAATTAAAACACAGAAAGAAATCCAGGACAAGAGTAATACACTGCAAGGATGCATAGGAACAAGTAGATCTAGAAGACTTCACACAAAAAGTGGCATTTCAACTAGACCGGAAAACTTGAGATAAATTTGTAGTTGTAGAATAGAGGTAAAGACATTCCAGGCTAAGCAAATCAGTCAGCTCCTGATAAAATTATGCTTGTTAACAACCCCCAAATCACAGTGGTTTATAACAACACTACATCCATCATGGGTTGGCTGCAGTTCCGCTCCGTGACATTTCCACTCCAGGGGTAAGGCTAAGGGAGGAGACTCTAGCCAAGGCATGCCAGTGTTGCAGCAGAAAGAAAAGAGTAATGGCCAGACCATGTGTTAGTTCCTAAAGCTCCTCCTCCACAAAGGCATTTGTCAGTTTCACCTACATTTCCTTAGCCAAAGAAAGTCACATGATCAAGCCTGGCATCCACGGAAACCTACTCCTCCACTTAGGAGGGTCACCACAAATCAGGAGGAGAGGAGGCAAATATTAAGAACAATAATACAATATACCACAGTAAGAGACCAGTGAGTGTGGAGCTAAAAACAAACAAAAGACCCCTAGTGGTCCTAGCAGCTGGCTGAGGTTGCCTTAGATGGAAACAGTGGGAGACAAAGCTAGAAATATGAATAATGCCCACAGTGACTAGCTGTCAAAATTCTCAAAAGAAATTAAAATTGAACCACCTCTTAAGTCTTCAACTAACAAAAACATCAGATAAAGGACTAGTATCCAAGCTTTATAAAGAACTTATTAAACTCAACAGCAAAGAAACAAACAATCCAATCATGAAATGGGCAAAAGACATGAACAGAAATTTCACCAAAGACGGCATACACATGGCCAACAAGTGATTGCTCTGCACCCCTTGCTATCAGGGAAATATAAATCAAAACCACAATGAGATACCACCTCACACCAGTGAGAATGGGAAAAATTAACAAGGCAGGAAATAAATATTGGAGAGGATGTGGAGAAAGGGGAACCCTCTTGCACTGTTGGTGGGAATGTGAACTGGTGCAGCCACTCTGGAAAACTGTGTGGAGGTTCCTCAAAGAGTTAAAAATAGGTCTGCCCCTATGACCCAGCAATTGCACTGCTGGGGATTTACCCCAAAGATACAGATGCAGTGAAACGCCGGGACACCTGCACCCCAATGTTTATAGCAGCAATGTCCACTACAGCCAAACTGTGGAAGGAGCCTCAGTGTCCATGGAAAGATGAATGGATAAAGAAGAGGTGGTCTATGTATACAATGGAATATTACTCAGCCATTAGAAACGACAAATACTCACCATTTGCTTCGACGTGGGTGGGACTGGAGGGTATTATGCTGAGTGAAATAAGTCAGTCGGAGAAGGAAAAACATTATATGGTCTCGTTCATTTGGGGAATATAAAAAATAGCGGAAGGGAATAAAGGGGAAAGGAGAAAAAGTGAGTGGGAAATATCAGAAAGGGAGGCAGAACATGAGAGACTCTTAACTCTGGGAAATGAACAAGGGGTGGTGGAAAGGGAGGTGGACAGGGGGTGGGGGTGACTGGGTGACGGGCACTGAGGGGGGCTCTTGATGGGATGAGCACTGGGTGTTATGCTGTATGTTGGCAAATTGAACTCCAAAAAAAAAAAGAAAAGAAAAGAAAAAAGAAAAGAAACATCCACTTTTTCTTATGCTTATAGAAAGAAACCTTGGAGCATACACTAGACAACACCAAAGATCGTTACAGTCACAAACTGGCCAGCATCCAGACAGTACTGGACAACCTAGAAGTCCAACTGACACAGATACGGGCCGAGACAGAATACCAGAGCAAGGAATACAATATCCTCTTTGACATAAAGACCAGACTTGAGCAGGAAATTGCTACTTACCGCCGCCTTCTGGAAGGGGAAGATGACTGCAGGTAAGTCTCTTAGAATCAAAGGTATGTGCCAGTGTGTCTACCTGCTGTACTATTTAAACATCGATACATTAAACCCTGTCACTCATTCCCCAGCAAGAATGCAATCCCTAGCACAAAAGCAACTGCACACATATCACAAACAACAAAACAAAAATATACAAAAGTACACCCATCCCCCAAATAACCAGGTATGGCCTTTGTACATGAGGTCATGTGTGGGACTGATACAGATTATGCTTTTGCTCATTTTTATTATTAATACATAATTGAAAGTACAATAACTTTTTTAAAGATTTTATTTATTTTTTCATAAGAGATAGAGAAAGGCAGAAACATAGGTAGGGGGAGAAGCAGGCTCCCTGTGGGGAGCCCAATGTGGGACTCAATCCCAGGACTCCAGGACCACACCCTGAGCCGAACGCAGACATTCAACCACTGAGCCACCCAGGTGTGCTGAAAGTACAATAGCTTTGAAAAATTCTCCTTGAGAGGTCATGAAATGAACAACAGGCTGCAGAGGTCTGTGGGACCAGTTTGAGAATCATCAGTGTTGCCATGGCAACTGTCTTCTACTACCAAACTCAAGAAACTCAATAATATAAGATTTAAACTTCCACTGTTACAAAAGCTTCTAATATGGCATAAGCAGGTCAGTTTTGAAGTCGTGTGTGTGTGTGTGTGTGTGTGTGTGTGTGTGTGTCAAGTTGAAAAGTAAGAAACTCAAGTTCAAAGTAATAAGCATGGTCAAAGGAGAAAAAATACAGACATAGCATTAAAACACACACCCCAAAAAAAAAAAAAAACAACAACACACACACACACCATGCAGACTTTATTTTGAAATAAAAAAAGCAGAACAGGCCTTCATTTTCAAAATGGCAATAACATCTTTTCATGTTTCTTTTTCTTTTCTTTAAAAGATACCAAATCACAATTCCAGATGATCAGATACACATTGAAGAGGAGAAAGGTAAGTGTTCTAATTTCACACGTTTCCTGGGAGACTGAATCCTCACTCAGTAGCTTACTACTCATTAAATGCCACTGGTGAAAAGTAAAAAGAGATCAATTCTCAAGAGAGCAGATATTGCCCTAGGGATTCTGAAAATCAGGCATATAACATAAAGAAACCCCCAAAACGGGAAGTTTGTCACACTCCCCCAACCTGGTGATTTTCTTGGCCCAAGATATTGCTGTCCTGAGACATCCTGGGATCCTAAAAAGAAAAAGAAAAAAAAGATGAAAAGTGCATTTCAATATTGTATATTTCTCTTTGGGAGGAAAGTAGAAAATTTGTGAATTTGGGGACAGTGGCACATTTTCTACACTTATTTATAAATTGGACAAGATTAAGAAAAAGGATGGGTTGGGTTTCTTTTCTTTTAGGAAAAAATATATAAGATAATAATGATTTAGAGTTGAATATTATACACCAGCAGAGTCATTATCCTGAGTTAATTAACATTTTATACTTAAATTTAACTCAGATATAAAGAGAACAAGGAAGATTAAGACAGTCGTGGAAGAAGTGGTGAATGGCATGGTTGTGTCAAGTGAAACCAGAGAGGTGGAAGAAAATATCTAAACTGCTACCTGGAGATGCTGCTGAGGGTTTGAAAGAAATGTAGTTATAATTTTTGCTCCCTGTAAGAAAGTGGCCATCAGAAGGCACCATTAGTGCTTTGTGGTAATCCGAGGGGGACAAAAGCCCATTTATCAGTCTCCATAATTGAATATAAGTTGTTTTACTCAGAGGAGCTGCAAATCACCTACAAAAATGAAATCCAATGGGCACTAGGACATTTAAAACATCACTACCACCATCTTTACCATGAAACACATTAATTATAAGCTAGAGACCACTTACTATCAATTCGTTAATGTTCCTGAAAAATTATAGCACATTTGAATTACTCTAAACCTTATAGAGCAGTTGAGTACCTGAAAATCACAAATGAACTGCTCTAACTTTTCCTGTTTCTAAATTGCAAAATCTCCTTTCAGGGGCCTTTAGATTCTTAAATGAGCCTATTGGTTGATTTCATTAGATTTGTAATATTGGTACCATCCTGCTAGCTTGGAGTTACATTTGCATTTTTTTCATGGTCTCCACTGCCTTTTAAAACTCAACTCAGGGGATGCCTGGGTGGGTCAGTGGTTGAGCATCTGCCTTTGGCTCAGGTTGTGATCCTGGCTCCAGGATTGAGTCCCGCATCAGGCTCCCTGCAGGGAGCCTGCTTCTCCCTCTGCCTATGTCTCTGCCTCTCTCTGTGTGTCTCTCATGAATAAATAAATAAATCTTAAAAAAATAAAATAAAACTCAACTCAGTTCTTCAAGTAATTTGAGTCAGACTCTAATCACAAATGCTGAGCAGAATTTGAATGAAGCACATTATGCTTGTAATGGGAGTAGATTAAACACAAAATTAGTGAAACTCTTCTTAAGGCAGAATGCTTCTCCTTATGATAATAAACTGCATAAAGCATCAGGTGTTCTCTCTCTTTATGGAGTGAACGTGTGTTATGAAATGTTTCTCACTGTTTTTTTTAAAAAACAGCTTTAATGAAATATAATTCACACACCATAAAATCCATCCTTGTAAAGTACATAATCCAGTGGTCTTCAATATGTTCACAGGATTGTGCAACTATTGCCACTGTCCTGTTTTAGGACATTTCACCACTGAGAAAAGAAACCCCAATAGGAGTCATCCCCTCCAACCCACCTTCCCCCCAGCCCTGGCAACCACTAATTGACTTCCTCTCTATGAATTTGCCTACTCCAGACATTTCCTACAAATGGAATCATACAGTGTTTTCTTTTGTACAGAAATGTTCATAGCAGCATTATTCATAATAGACCCAAAGTGGAAACAACTCAAATGTCCATCAATTGATCAAAGGATAAAGTGAGGTATGTCCTTACAAAAGAATATTATCTAGCAAGAGAAATAGCAAAATACTGATACATAATGCAACAGGGATGAACCTTGAAAACACTATGCTTACTGAAGGAAGTCAGACACAAAAAAGACTATTCTCTCCCATTTTGCATTTCTGTGAGCAGTAACTGCCTTGCAAATATTTACAGGAAAAAATCATTTTGCCCTCTCTCCTTGTATTCTAGTAAATTAATAGCTTGGATTTAAATTTTGATATATAAGTTTGTAAGTCAATGGATTTTGAGTGTGATTATATTGAAAATAATAATGTGATTCACTTAAGGATAATACTATCTACCATTTATTGAGCACTTTGAACTAAACAGTATGCTAGGCATTTTATAGGCACTTCTCATTTAATTTTCACAATAATCCCATGAAATAGAAGCTATTAGGTTGAATCGTAGGAATTTGTCAATATGTAAAAATAAAATAAAAAATAAATTAAAAAAAGGAACTTGTCAATATGTAATCATTTTTTAACCTTTAAAAAAATGGCAGTTTCACATGGTTTGACTTTATTCTATTATCCCCATTTTTCAAATGAGGATTATATATGAAGACATGAAATAGGTACTCATGTCACAGTTATCAAGTAATGGAGCAAGACTGAACCTTCTAAAGTCATGATACCCTTTTAGGCAACTAATTACATGACAATTACAGAGTCATACCTGAAATGAGCATTTGCCTCTCCTTAGTTGTTTTGCTGTTTTCTGATTGCCATTTTCACTAGCCAGACACTTAAAACAGCCAAATGTCACAAATGTGGTCCAGCCAGAATCCCACATGACTGGATTTAGCACAACTTCTGTCAGAAAGAATATTATCTTCACTTATTCTCATTCTTTTGCTTTTCAAAGTGAAGAGATTCACTCTCATTTTTTTCTTAATTTCCTTCCAAGTCACTCTGGTTAGGACCTTGCTTTTAAAGATGTTAAGAACTTTTAGAAGTGAATTCTTTGTCTCCTACAAAACACATTCCAGAAGAGTCTGTACCTTCTACATGCAAATACCAGAGGCTGAGTCTGGTTAGTTAAAAACCTGCAGGAGGTGGGTTTAAAATTCACTAGGCATGGCCACAGTCAATATGACAATTACTGCATTTTGCCATAGGCAATTATAACACTTGGTTCCAAAGCATAATTATTATTTTTAACTGAATTTCCTATCATAAAAAAATGAAAACTAATCCTTGCTTTTGGTCGATCTCTAGTTTCTTCCAAGTAATCTTTCAAAGAAAGTAGGTGAGGCAGTATATACATGTGGAACTAGATGGTTCTACCAGTAATTACTGTGTGAAAATAAAGTGTTAATCTCCATATCTATACTTCTTATATGAGCTAGGAAACAGAACAGCATGATCCTATTTCTGACAGGCATACAAATCCAGGGAAGATTCATAATCCTTAAATTTGGCTCTCTTTATCACACATAGAATCACCAATAACTTTCATGACTTTATACAAAATCATCAGTGTACAAGTGGACCCATCAAACACAGAAACCTAGAGATGATTCTAAGATGGAGAGAACTACTTTTTCTGGCCTTGGGGAATTACATCTACACAGAGCTTTGTAACATCTAAAAAGAATGGCATAGAATGACAGAAAATCAAAACTTGACCAGTGAACACCCTCTGCTCTTACCCTCACTAACTTGGGGGCAGTCTCAAATAACAATTCCAACTTACAGCATTGGCTAGTGATTTCTATTTTTAAATTTCCCTTCAAACATTTGTTTTCTCTCCCCTAGACTCACTTCCAAGATTCGCCTTCCCAGGAAAGGGAAGATTCCAAGATTCCTTATCCTTTTTCTCACCTCCCTGCCTTTGAGAACACTGAGCTCTGGAGACCAGAACTCATCCTTAAGCATGACTGCCAAGGGTCTTTTTTCATCCTCATTTCAAAAGCACAGCATACAATATTAGTTACCCAATATTCTTTTACTCACTCACAGGATCTTCAAATATTATTCAAAGCAAAAGTGAAAGGTGTTAGGGACCAACTCATCAGTGAATTGCAGGAAGTGGAAGGTCTGTCTTTAATGGAAAGAACTCATGTGGAAAATTCTGCAGTTAAAGAGCAGGAAACTAACCAATGTGACATGAGAAGATGAGCATATGTTTTACTTAATAAATCAAAATATTTACAAATACCACGTAGATAATTGTCTCTATCTTGAGTATTCCCTAAACTCTACAAAAAGGGAAGCCATGATTCTTTTGTGTAGTTCCCCCTTTCTCATCATTTTCCTCTCTGCCTCAACTTACATAATCACTTTGCCACCAAGCCCAAGATGATTTCTGTTCTCTACACTCCCACCCTCCTATATTTTTACAGTTGTCAGAGAAAACTATTTTTACTTCTAAAAACTCTAAAATACAGGCTTTATTATTTAACTTAGCCCTCCTCCCAAAAACACCAATGAAGAAGATATCTCGGGGATCCCTGGATGGCTCAGTGGTTTAGCACCTGCCTTCGGCCCAGAGCATGATCTTGGAGTCCCGGGATTGAGTCCCACATTGGGCTCCCTGCGTGGATCCTGTTTCTCCCTCTGCCTGTCTCTCTCTCTCTCTCATGAATAAATAAAAACTTTTTTAAAAAAAATCTATTTCTCCTCTCACTCTCTGTGTCTCTCATGAATAAATACAATATTTTTAAAAAAAAGATATCTCTCTCTTTTCAATTTCTGAAGTTGTTCCCCATTCATAATTGAATTTAAAATAAATCTTAGTCAAAGCATACCAGCAAATTAGACAAAGGCACTCTTAAGTGAAATGAATTTTAAGTGACACATTCAAACACATTAAGGATTAAGTTCTTTCAAGTGAAATAGCTCCAGAAGTGCAAGGATGAAGCTTAGCCAAACACTAGGGTAAGACTCAGGATTTAAAAAAAATGAATTAGACATAGTCCCTACCTGAGAAACTTACAGTCTAGGATGATAAACAATAGGTATAGAAACATGAAGGTATAACATGCAAACATGATATATAGATACCGGGCAAAATTATTTAAAATTTACATATAGGCATCAGAGATGGAAAATAGACATTTCAGCACAAAATCAGTTCCAAGTTCAAGAATTCAAGTTAATCATATTCCCATATTATATGATCATATCACTAAGCTACAAGTCTGCATTTGGCACATCCTCTCAAGTCTGTAAGCAAGTAATAGTCTGTTTCATGTCTATGGCAATAATGATGGAATCACCCTTTAAGGTGGCGGGGGGGGTGCTGCTCATAACTAATAATTAATGACCATAATGTCAAAGTTCCTGTATAGGAAATGCAAGCAGAACTAGTACTTTACATGATCTCTGACAATGTGGTTACATGTCAAAAGTATAACTAAAAGTACACTTGCCCATGTGTTTGCAGGATTTCACGTGTGGTGCCATTCTCTGGGTCTCAGCCTTGTACGCTGAGAAATGAAATTCAAGGAGTAAAGCTTTCTTGAAAAGGAAAGAGTTAAAGCTCCTGGGTGATGTGCAGGGCAGAAACCTAGTCTCAAGAGTGACCCTCTGCCCTTTCTGTTTTCACTGTAAAAAGCAGGGTTGTGTTATCTATAAAAGGCACTGCAACCTGAATCCTATCTCTGCCACCTCCTGTGTGGTCTTGAATAAGTCACTTAACATTGTGACCTTCAGATTGCTCATTTGGAAAAATAGGACAAAAGTATCAAACTTAAGAGGTTATCACAAAGGTTTAAAATAATGTCTGCAGTTCACCTAGCCCAGTGTCCAGAACACAGTAAGCACACCATCACTACCAACAATTCAAACAAGGACAAGCTCAGAAAAAATGCTTGTAATATACATTAAAGGAATCCTTGGTAAAAATCTCCATATGAGGTCAAGGTCCCCAGCATTTCCACTTAACATATTTCCATCCTCTCACGAAATGGAACAAATGGATTATGGCATCTCTCATCAAGCTGAGTCTGCATTTGATAGCTGCATCCTTTCTATATCTATTGTGAGTAAGAATACGTAGTTTCTGCAAATGTCTTGCTTAAACCCCTTTTATTTAGAAATCTCATTGGCTTGCTCTTTGTGATGGGTATAGGTTAAGGAAAATATGTCCCTTCATATATGTCCCTTCTACAATAAGGTAAAAGGAAGCTGTAATTGAATTTCACCCTGGGTTCATCATTCCTGTCCCTGGGAAAGTAAATGAATAAATAAATAAATAAAAAGCATCATGCAGTCCTTCTGTTTGCCAGAATTGACACTGAATATTCCCTATAGAGGCCTGACATGGGATTCAGGTGTTAAGTCCTCTGCATTTGCCCCTATGTCACCAGTGGGCACTGCTGGCTTGAAGAACCTCACTTTCTGGGACGCTACAGTCAAGCAGAGAATATCTGTGGGGACACAGGGGTTGAGGGTGGGAGCAGTGATATAATTTTAATATACAAAAAAATCAATTGCATTTTGATACGTTAGCAATGCTGGGGGTTGAGCACTGAATTATCAGACAAAGCTTCTGATTTCTTAGAGTTTACTAAGAAGGTCATTCTTATGTAAAGGAAGAGCTGCTGAGGATACTATAATATTCTAGTCAAAAATAGCATTCTTTCAATGTTTAAGAGGTCCTCTTTTTGAATCAGAAAGAAACTATGCAAAATCCTGATCCTAATCTGAGGTTTTAAAATCCTTGAGAATTCAAATCCCTGTATCAATCTGGAAAATTTGTTTATTCCTCTCCTTCCATTAATGCATTTCACAACTGCTTCTGAAACTATATTCCACTAGAATATAAACTAGATCATGGTCAGATGGTTTACAGTTCGTTTTCTAAAGGAAACAAGTAGGAAATGTGAGTGAAGAACTTTAAGAAGCTCAAGGCTGAGAAGACGTAAAATTAATTTATCCATTCAACAATCACTCATTGCTTTCCTACAGTGTGTAAGACACTGGGCAGTGCAGAGAATACAAGCAATGGAGTAATCTGGAAGAGAAAAATTTCTCGTGACAACTTCTCTCTACTCCACCCAGATTTCTTTTTTGCTTAACAAATATGTAATGGGCACAATTATTCAATTATTTCTATACTAATGAGTTTTCAGTATGCATAAATCTTTTACTGGTTGAGCTGGTCAAAAAAGGGGGGGAGCATGATATTTTGGGTGAGAGAGTGAACTTTTCAACTGCAACACCCATTTCATGACCTATAAAAGGCCAACCCTTCTGCCTTGCTGACACTGCTTCCTCTCAGGTTGAGGCTCCCTTCCCTGGGCTGTGGATCTTTCCAGCAATACCATGTCCCTCTCAGTGCGCACCTCTGGGCTGCCCCGGCGGCTGTCTTCCCAGAGTGGGACATCGGGCAGAGCCAGGGGCACGTCTGCTTCCATAGTTGGAAGTAGCTATGGGGGGAGCACCCTTGGCTTTGGAGACAGCTATGGGGGAGGCTTTTCTGCTGCTTCCATGTTAGGTTCTAGTTCTGGCTTTGGTGGTGGCTCTGGAATTTCCTTTGCAGGAGGACTGGGTGCTGCATATGGGGGAGCCCTGGGAGGTGGCTCTGGAGCCCTGGGAGGTGGCTTTGGAGCCCTGGGAGGTGGCTTTGGAGGCCTAGGAGGTGGCTTTGGAGGCCTGGGAATTGGATTTGGGGGAAGCCCAGGAGGTGGCTCTGCAGGTATTCTCTCTGGCAATGATGGAGGCCTTCTTTCTGGATCAGAGAAGGAAACCATGCAAAATCTTAATGACAGATTGGCTTCCTATCTGGATAAGGTTAGAGCTCTAGAAGAGGCTAATACTGAGCTAGAAAACAAAATTCGAGAATGGTATGAAACACGAGGATCTGCGACTGGAGACCCCGGATCACAGAGTGATTACAGTAAATATTATCCATTGATCGAAGACCTCAGGAATGAGGTAAGAATATGGTTTTTGAGGGGGCTTTGGGAACTATTTTTTTTATTTTCCTCTTTGGCTATTCTAATATTTCACAGTGATAAACCATCTAAGACTTAAGGTACCTTTCAACTTGACTGTATTTGGAGCAATTTCTCATCTCAGGTTATTTAGTTTCATTCTATCATTTATCATAAAGTAACTGTATTTCCACTAACTTTCTGCAAGAAATGTTTCTCAATTTTTAAATAAAATGGTACAAGTATGTCTTCTTTTTAAAAGTTAAACTGCCTTAAACTGTTAATAGCATGTTAATATCACCTAAAAACTCCTTCTCAAAAATACACCCACGTAATACTAGTATTTTACAACCCCATTTCATGTGTCTTCCCCTATTTGGCCAGATCATTTCTGCCAGCATTGGAAATGCCCAGCTCATCTTGCAGATTGACAATGCAAGACTGGCTGCCGAAGACTTCAGAATGAAGTGAGTAGAACAAAAGAAAGACTAATGGTAATTGACATGTCTCATCATTTCTTCTTATTCCCTATTTTCCTGCCTTTGTTGATGGCAAATATTTCAAACCCTCTGTAGTTCACACACTCTACACATCTGTTGTTTTTGTAAATTTACGTTGGACATTCTAGGAAGAAAGCTGATTCAAACACAATTCACATTACATGTCCTTAGGTATATGCTACTTAAACCTAGGGCTATGATCACCACCATGTTTGTAATTTGCTTTTGGCTTATACTGTGACATAGTATTTACACCAATGTCCTAAACCTCAATCTTCCATGTATCAAAATGAATTAATAATGTTTTTGTCTAGAAGTGAGATTATATTTTTCCTGATGACACATACCACTAAAATATTAACCACACACCTATTTTTATATTTCTTCCTCCTCTCCCATATTCCATCCTCCTGCACATAAGGAAGAAACACTAACACTCATTTTGCTCCACAAAATCTCCATGCAGGATGTTGCAGTGGTGATGATCCTCCACCTGTAAAATCTTGGTAAAAGGTATCAGAGAAGTATCAATGTTTTAAATTATATCATGAATAAAAGTTAAGCAAAAATCTATTTTTTTTTTTTAATTTTCAACTGCTTTTAGGATTCCATCAGAAAGTCCACCCGGAGAGGGCTACTACTGCCAGGACAGCCAGCCAAAGGAGAAACTGTTCCCTGGGATGCAGGGCTACTGAGGTTCATGGTAGAGACAGACTGGTAGAAAAGTCTCACCTCACAATCCTTTCACTTCTCTCCAACTGAGTAGTAAATTATTATGAAGAAAAGGAAAGGAAAACGTTAAAAAGGAAACAGAGCATCATATATTACAATGCTGCCACTTTTACGTAATCACACAAAGTGCAAAACAGACCTGAAGATGATGGCAGAGGCCTTATTCAAATGGATGTGTTGACTTCGGAAACTTTTGTGCTTGGTTTTCAGGTACGAGAACGAGCTGGCCCTGCACCAGAGTGTGGAGGCTGACATTAACGGCCTGCGCCGTGTGCTGGACGAGCTGACCCTGGCCAGAGCCGACCTGGAAATGCAGATCGAGAACCTAACAGAAGAACTGGCCTACCTGAAGAAGAACCACGAAGAGGTCAGCCAGAAAAGGCAGATTTCTAAGTGGCTTTTTTCCTCCCAAGTTCAAAAATCACAATTTCAAATTTACAAATCCAGAGTTAGAACAGGTATGGATGATACATGATACCCCTGTTAAATTGGCCATTTGTTTTGGATTTCTGAGTGAGTGTATGTGTGGTGGCAGTGGCAGGATTGATAGTGATTCCTGTTAAAGTTTAACAGATTAGCAGTGCTTTCTGACTTTGTCATTTTGCTCATTAGACAAAGACAACCAGAATTTTAATGGTCCTAACTTAGTGATTTCCAAAAATATAGTATATTTAAAGTTCAAAAACAAGTCTACCAATAATACAAAATGATATATTTGTGTGAGAAGCTGGTTATGCCCAGTGTAAAACACACAATGAACTCTGGTATGCTGCATAGTATATCAAAAGTTCTGTGTATACAGACATTAATCATGACCCTGGCAATGGGCTTCTCAAGAGCTTTCTACTGGAAGTCAATGACTGATACAAACAGTGTGCAAGCCTTGGCACTGTCTGCAGCCCCAGTTTGGAGGCTGTAGTTGAAGCTTTACTGTACCTTTTCCACTAGGCCTTCTCTTCTTTGTAAAGGCCCTGGATCACCAAGAAGCAGGGCTAACTCATCCGTTTGCCATAGTAGGCACATCCCCTAGGGTCCATGGTAAGTTTAGGGACCCAAGGCAATGCCTTCAGTAGTTTTAAATCAAAAGAAAAATATGAATTTGTAGGTTAAAAAAAAAGAAGTTTTAATATGCTGTATTATAACAGTACAGCAACGTGGTCATAAAATGTAACACTTGATGTCTTTTCTGCTGTAAGAGGCCCACCAGCGTTATCAAGGGGCCGGGCGCCTCTCCCTCACTCTCTCGCTCGCTGTTCCCAGGAGCTCCAAAGCTTCCGGGCAGGCGGCCCAGGGGAGATCAGTGTGGAAATGGACGCTGCTCCAGCCGTGGACCTCACCAGGCTCCTCAACAACATGAGGGCGCAGTACGAAGCCATTGCTGAGCAGAACCGTAAGGACGCAGAGGCCTGGTTCATTGAAAAGGTACCGCAAGCAAAAACAAAAGGCTTTGACACGTTGGCAGGAAAGACCTGCGGGCGCAGCGCGCGCTCACGTCCTTTCGCCCCTCTTTGCCGCGGCAGAGCGGGGAGCTGCGGAAGGAGATCAGCACCAACACGGAGCAGCTGCAGTCCAGCAAGAGCGAGGTCACCGACCTGCGGCGCGCACTTCAAAACCTGGAGATCGAGCTCCAGTCCCAGCTGGCCACGGTAGGGCGCGCACGCGCGGCATCATTTCGACTTCCAAAGAAAACGTGGCACCCACGTTAGTTATAAGGCCACTGGCTGGCCGCCTTCCTCATTGCCATCCCCTCCACTGTTGTATCTGTGCCATCTCCCTCCCACGTGCAGAAGAAATCCCTGGAGGCCTCGCTGGCCGAAGTGGAGGGCGACTACTGCGGCCAGCTGTCCCAGGTGCAGCAGCTCATCGGCAGCCTGGAGGAGCAGCTGCTCCAGGTGCGCGCCGACACCGAGCGCCAGAACGTCGACCACCAGCGGCTGCTGAACGCCAAGGCCCGCCTGGAGATGGAGATCGAGACCTACCGCCGCCTCCTGGACGGCGAGGCCCAAGGGTGAATAGACAGGTTCACGTAGGATGCAAATAACTTCAGTGGCTGACCAGCAGGGGCCGCCTGATGCGCTTGGGGCAACAGAAGGAAGGAGGGTTCTTTCATTGATGGAAAATACCACATCTCCTAACAAGCATACCCTGGATTTCATTTAATGGTCTACACTTTCCAAAGTGGCGTCACCCTTTATCTCGCTTGACAATTCATAAAATGCTGGGATGAATAATGACACCACAGACAGGCATACTGCAAACTGACACTAGAGAAGTCACCCATTAGAGTCCTAGTATCAATGCCCCCATGCTGAGAATGACACCTCACACAACAGCCACCTGAATCACCTCACAACCTACTGCAGTGAACTTTCCAAAAGCAGCAGCAGCCTAGACTAGTGGGAAGAGCCCAGGGCTCTAAATCAGGAAATCAAAGTTCTGAGATCAGATCTTCCATTAATTGCCAGTTTGCTTCACTTTGAGAGCCCGTTTTAGGCAGAGTTTGAAAATAAAGGTTCACTGCACTAACTGCTTACTCTCAGGGTGCATTATTCAATCACTGTTCATCAAGGAATTTAGAATACCTTCTCTATTTAGCCATAGTGTTATGTAAATTTTTAGCTTAAAGAGCAAACTCTTTATTTCTCCTCCTCCCAGAAAGCATCATGTGGTATCATCCCCCTTGTTTTCTTTACAGCGATGGCTTTGATGAGACTTTATATGCGACAGAATCCAAATCTCAAACGCAGTCGATTGATTCCTCTAAAGGTATGCAGACTCCCTAAGAATAACTGAGAATAAGTCAGAATCACACTTATTAATGACTAAAATGATAAGATCTCTTGAATATTGCAGTATTATTAATAATTTTAAGTATATTTGTATTCTGGGCCAAGGAAAAATATTTATGTATTCCTGCAGAAAAATGAGTGGATTGTACTGTATGAAAATTTCTGGCAACCCAGAAGGAAAACAATCTATTCTACAAAGAAGTGTTATGAGCATCATAGCCACTTTTTAAATTTTTAAAAGGAGAAATATTTTCACTTGTACATAATATGACACTGAATACATTTCACTTTCGTTTTCAACAATGCAAAAAGTGCATTGTTTTAGAATGAATGCAAAAGTCACTTTTGAAAGTTTAAATTCGGTGGATTATATCTGCCAATATCTAATTTAAAGTTTAAGCTAAACAACAACCAACTTTGGATGAATGTATGAAACACTTACTCTTGCCCCTTTATTCCATTTTTATCTTTAGACCCAACCAAATCCCGGAGAATCAAGACAATTGTGCAGGAAGTGGTGAACGGTGAAGTGGTCTCATCTCAAGTTCAGGAAGAACTAATGTAAAATTTCACAAGATCTGCCCCATGACTGGTTCCTTAGGGATAGGAAATTTACAAGCAGAAATTGTCCCTTTCAGAGTAAGATACCATATTAGCTCAATTCTACTTTTGTCTGTTTCATTTTCCTTGGACTCCCTATTCACTTTGAGTCCCTATTGCTCTTCAATTACAAATCACTGTGGCCATGTTGGTCTTTAGAACAAACCAAAATTGCTTTACATCTTTCTGGACCTAGAGTAGTCTTCTAATAAGCTTTCTTTTGGTGACCTGGAACATATTTTAATCACATGATTTTGATCAAGTATTGTTATAATAAAGTTAGATAAAAGATGAATGGTAATAATATGGAATATGTACCTTCTTGATTCCAACAATGTCAAGAGCATAGAGAGAGGTTTGTAAAACACTAATATAAAATAGATAAACACTGAGATGAAAATGTCAAGGTTGGAGATTAAGAAGATTCTTTTAGAAGTTCTGCCCTTTTTACATCATCCCATTACGGTTACAGCAAATTACATTGCCTACTATGGGGATAACAGTTGTCCTGTTCATTTTCTAAGACCTTCTTTGATTCAGTCAAGAAACACTTATGGAATCCTTACAGTATGTAAGAATGGAGACTCAAAGATGAATATGATAGGGTCCTTGCCTACTGGAGCTCACAATTTAGGGCAGAGATAGACATTTACTGGGAATGGTGATACAGAGAGATAGGCCACATAGAAGTTAGAAGGACATATGGAGGAAGAACTGAACAATTTGTCAGGGGGCAACTAATTGCTTCATACAACAATCAACCAGGATGGGGCATCTGGGTGCCTTAGAAGGGTTAGCTGTCAGACTCCTGATTTTTTTTTTTTTTTTGGACTCTTGATTTTGATTCAGGTTGTCATCTCAGAGACATGGGACCAAGCCCCACATTGGGCTCTATGCTGGGAGCAGAGTCTACTTGAGAGTCTCTTTCTCCTTCTCCTTCTGCCCCTCTACCCCCATATGTGCTCTCGCTCTCTCAAATCAATTAATTTAAAAAAAAAAGAAAAGAACAGAAAAAGAAAAGAAATCAACCAGGTAGAGAAAAGGAAAAGGGAACAGAGGAACACATGTGAAAAAAACACAAGGGTATAAACAAACATTGTTTTATGTCCTTTCTCCTATCCAGCACCAGTGAGGCCCAGATTCGGTTTCTATTGGGGTGGATCAGACCCATGAGTCAATAACAGATGTCATGTTCTGGGTTATGGCAGAAGGTGGCCAAAGTCTAGGCTTGAGTAGATGGGGGTTCAATCTGGATTGCCATATTCAAAACTCTAGATGGAAAATAAGAGCAGGATTTAATGATTAAGAGCCTGGGCTCTGAAGCCAGACTGGGTTCAAATATTAGCTCTGTCACTTCATAGCAAGTAACCTACTTGCGGTATGCCTGTTTCCTGATCTTTGAAGTGGGTGGGTTTTGTGGAGATTAAGTGAGGGATTTAAAATACATACATAAAACACTAGGAGCAGTCTCTGGTACATAACAAGTATTCACTATCTGCATTATATTATTATGGAGTATATGGAACCAAAATGGGGCGCAGAAGGAAACTGATGAGCAAGGAGTATCAAGAGGAGAAAGGAGAGGGAGGAGTCATGCAAGCCTGGAGGAATTCCTGCACTGAGTGCAAAAGCCCAAAGAAGGTTATTATGCCATTGTAGGTGACTTACTTCAGCATGCAACTTTCTGAAGTGCTCCATTTATCTCCTTATATTATGCATAGCAATTTAACTCTCTGCCTAGCCCTCCCCTTCTAGAACACATCATAGGAGAACTTTACCTTTTAGGTCCAAAAAGATTATCAAAATATTTTCCTGAACAAGGTCCATGTAATAAAGGATGCCCCTTTTCTGGTACTCAGAAGTAGTTGCACATAGTTGCTGTTTCAAATAACATCTGTTTTCCTTACAACTACGTCTGAATTGTGTGAGACTCAAAGAAGAAAGGCATTTTGCACAAGGATAAACCCAGCTTATTGGTTCTTAGCTACTATCTTAGTTTTATCAACATTCCTCTTTTTTATCAGCATTTCTCCACTGGGTTCCCTGAGACAATACCTCACTTGCCACATTTTCTCAAACTCTTTTTTATGACCTCTGAATGTTGGCCCAATCTTCCTGTCCCCTCTCTCTCCACTCATTCCCTAGGTGATCTTAACTAATCCCATGGTTCTAAAATAACCATCTATAACTTATTGTGGTGATCATTTCACAACATATACAAATACTGAGTTATTATGTTGTATACTTGAAACTAATACACATTATTCAACAATTATACCTCAATAAGAAAAAAAAACACAGTAACCTCCTGTGCATTGATTACTTCTTGTGTAGCCTCCAACATGGCTCCAGGGATCCCCACATCCTGGTACTCATGCCCTCCTACATGAATAGAATGTACATGTACAGTACCCTCCTACAATGAATAGAATAGATCTACTCAAGAAGTGACCCTGTGTGATTTCCTTTTCACAAAAAGCATTTCAATTCTGGGGCACCTGGGTGACTCAGTCAATTAAGCATCTGACTTGATTTCGACTCAGGCCATGATCTCAGGGTCATAAGATCAAGCCCCATGTTGGGCTCTATGCTCACGGTGGAGTCTGCTTGATTCTCTTTCTCCCTCTGCCCCTCCTTGCCCTCACTCACGCTCATGCTCTCTCTCAAAATAAATAAATAAAATCTTTTTTTTTTCCTAAGGCATTTCAATTCTGGATTGGTTTCTTGGATTGCTCACTTTGAGGGCAGTCAGCTGGCCTTAGAGTTACATTACAGGAGAGGAACGCCTGGGTGGCTCAGTGGTTCAGCATCTGCCTTTGACTCAGGGTGTGATCCTGGAGTCCCGGGATCAAGTCCTGCATGGGGATCCCTGTAGGGAGCCTGCTTCTCCCTCTGCCTAGTGTGTGTGTGTGTGTGTGTGTGTGTGTGTGTGTGTGTGTGTCTTGTGAATAAGTAAATGAATCTTTTAAAAAAAATTAAGTTATATGGGGGGGGAACTACCTTTAAAAAATCATTGATATCACAAAATTTCCTACTTAAACTCCAATGGCTAGGATCTAATGGAAGAGCCATCAAACCCAAAATTGCAGTCCTTTCCTAGTAATATCTCAGAATATTCTACACTCTTCAGTGGGCAAAGGACGCATTAGGTTTATTATATAAGTTCACTTTGCCCTATTCTCACTGCTAAGAAATGCAATTAGCACAACATCCTTATCATGAGATTCCAGCCCTCATTCACTAAACCACAAGCCCTAATTCAACACAGATGTAGAGGGTCTTTCTGGACTCAGGAATTAATGAACTGCAGAAGTGATAGGTCTATCTTTAAAGAAAATAACTTATAAGAAAAAAATCCAAGTACAGGATCAGACAATAAAAGACAAGCATATTGTTCATGATTATTTTGAAATCTAAACTTTTACAGATTAAAATGGTTACTTTTTATATATATTTGTTGTATTTACAGGCTACAGAAAGGTCTGGAAAATATTGTATATACTAAGTTATTACAGTGGTTATCTCCCGGAAATTACCAAGGGCTTTGAAGACTATTCTATTTTTTCTTCTGTACATTTCTTAAAATGCTTAACAAAGAGCGTGTATGACTCTGATAATTAGGGAAACCATGAATTTTAATTATCCAGAACAAATGGGTTTGCAAGTGGGTCCCTACAGAAGGGAACTATCTAAAAAACAACCCTAGGTTGCCAAATCAGTCACTTCTTTAGGCTTTGTAAGAGTGCCACCTACTGGAATCTCAGAAACTGAACTTAAAAAAATTAATCCTGCTTTTGAAGCCACTTGTGATATGTTTGAACTAGAAAGTTTACTTTTTTTTTAGAGTGAGGGAGTGAGGGGGTGGGAGGGGCAGAGGAAAGAAAAAGAGAGACAGAACCTCAAAGGAGGCTCCATGGCCAGCGTGGAGCCTGACACAGTGTGCAGTCCCACAACCCTGAGATCATGATCTGAGCCAGAATCAAAAGTTGGATACTTAACCGACTGAGCCACTCAAGCATCCCCTAGAAAGTTCACTTTTTAAAGTTCACTTTTAAAAAAGAGAAAGAGAGAGGTGAGGGCACCTGGGTGGCTCAGTCAGTTAAGCATCTGCTGTCAGCTCATGGTCCTAGAGTCCTGGGACCAAGCCCCACATAGACTAGACTCCTTGTTCAGCAGGGAGTCTGCTTCTCCCTCTCCCTCTGCCTGCCGCTCCCCTGCTTATTCTCTCTCTCTCTCTCTCTCTCTCTCTCTCTCCTCCCTCCCTCCCTCCCTCCCTCATAAATAAAATCTTTAAAAAATAAAAAATTTAAAAAATTTAAAAAGAGAGGTAAAGAAAAGACAAAAAAAGCAAACTTTTTTACAAGCATCAACTTAATAAATTAATATGTTCTTACTTAAATAAGGAGTGGCATTATTATTTCCAAAAAGTCCACCAGTAAGGAGGCAAGTTGTCTTAAGACATAAAAAAGAAAGGTTGTGATTATTCAGACTTTAGAGAACCAGATAATCTGAACTACTCAAGATTTTAAAAATATACTCAAACATCAACTGAAAAATTTATTCACGTAGCTGAGAAAATGACTTATGAGCTAATGTTTCTTTTAAAAAAAGATTTATTTATTCACTTTAGAGAGAGAGAACATGAAGAGGGGAGAAGGGGAGGGAGAGAGAAACTTTAGCAGACTCCTTGCTGAGTTTGGAGCCCAATGTGGGGCTTAATCTCAAGACCCTGAGATCATGACCTGAGCTGAAACCAGAGTTGGATGGTGACTGCTCCACCAAGGAGCCCCACTAATAAATGTTTCTTAGGACTTGGAGCTAGACCTAAGATTTAAATGTCATAAACTCAAAATGAAACTAAAAAATATTAGTGTCCTAAGTGAATATACCCTCTTCATCCCATGCCACTTCTCTGGCTGAACTTGGCAGGTCAGAATATGTGCATTTTAGTTGTCCGCTTGGAAC